TCAGACTTGACATTATTAGACTTCTCATCTGAATCTCTACATGCCAAAAGACAAAATGCTATTCAACCAGAATTTAAAGGAGATTATGACCTTTAAGTTTAAAATTTCAAATTACATTTCACAGATAGCTCTATACCACCTATGTACTCATACTTTTGAAAAATAAGAAAGTATTCTAACTTAAGAAAAAGAATTTACAAAAATGTACTCAATAAAAGTAGAAAAAAAAAAACAAAAAACAGGCCAGGCACGGTGGCTCACACTTGTAATGCCAGCACTTCGGGAGGTCGAGACAAGAGGACTGCTTGAACCCAGAAGTTCAAGACCAGCCTGGGCAACATAATGAGACCCAGTTTCTACAATAAATTAAAAAATTAGCCAGGTATGGCGGCATATGTCTTTACTCCCAGCTGCTTGGGAGGCTGAGGCAGAAGGACTGTTTGAGCCCAAGAGGTCGAGGCTGCAGTGAGTCGTGACTGCACCACTGCACTCTGGTCTAGGCAATAGGGCAAGACCCTCTTTCGAAAAATAAATAAATAAGCCTGGGCAACATAGTGAGACCATGTCTCCCACCCAAAAGAAAAAATTTACCTGGGCGTGGTCCATGCATCTGTGGTCCTAGCTACTCAGGAGGCTGAGCTGGAAGGATCACCTGAGCCCAGGAGTTTGAGACTGCAGTGAGCTATGATCACATCACTGCACTTCAGTCTGGGAGGCAGAGCAAGACTCTATCTCTTAAAAAAAAAAAAAAAAAAGCAAGACAAAACAAAACTTTGTGCCACATACATTACAAACTCAAAAAACAGTCATAATATTTTTACCAATAGCCAGGCATAGTGAGTCACGTTTGTAATCCCAGCTACTCAGGGAGCTGATGCTGGAGGAAGACTTGAAGGAGTTTGAGGCTGCACTGAGCTATGATCACATCACTGTATTCCAGCCTGGGCAACAGAGCCAGACACTGTCTCTAAATAAATAAAAATTTTAAAAATGTTTAAAACAGCTGCTTTGGACATCTGATTTATGATAGATAAAAAATCCTAAATAAAGCATTAGCAAACTGAACTAGCTGTATATTAAAATAGTAACATGGTCAGGTATGGTAGCTCAAGCCTGTAATCCCATAGCTTTGGGAGGATTACTGACTTGAGGCTAGGAGTTTGATACCAGCCTGGGCAACACAGTGAGACCCCATCTCTAAATAAAAATTAAAGTAAAATAAATAAAAATAACACTACATAATCAAACAGGTTTATTCTGGAACTAGCAATGGGTTAACATTAGGAAACTCATTATATTTAATAGAGTAAAAGGGGTAAAAAACAAAGAACAAAATTCTGTAGTAATTTTTGAAAGACTTCAAAAAAGAAAAAATGGTTAAAAAGTGAAGAAAAGTATTTGAAGTTGTCTTTTTTAAACTATTAAAATAGCTAAAAAAAAAAAAAAAAAAAAACCAAAAAAACCAGAAAGGAACCTGAAGTGCAATATCCACTCAATAAAAACTTGGTAAACTATAGGGTACTTCCCAGCATAAATGCACATAACCACCAGAAATCATCAGCATATGCAATATGGTAAAACACTAGAGGTAAACTAACTCAAGATAAATGAAAAAAGGACACCCATTCAACTGTCTTCACCATCTTTCAACACTGTTCCTGATGTTCTAGTATATGCATTAAGAAAAAAAGGTGTTAGGCTGGGCACAGTGGCTCATGCCTATAATCCCAGCACTTTGGGAAGCCCAGGCGGGCTGATCACTTGAGCCCAGGAGTTCAAGACCAACCTGGCCAACATGGTGAAACCTAATCTCTACTAAAAAATACAAAAATTAGCTGGGCATGATGGCAGATGCCTGTAATCCCAGCTACTCAGGAGGCTGAGGCAGGAGAAATCACTTAAACCCGGAAGGCAGAGGCTGCAGTGAGCCGACATTACGCCACTGCACTCCAGCCTGGTGACAGAGCGAGACAAAAAAAAAAAAAAAAAAGAAAGAAAGAAAAAAAGGTGTTTGGGTTTCTTCACAGTTGCTCAAGATGAACTGATTCTTCAGGAAAGTGAAATTAAAGCTCCGTCGCCCAGCCTGAATGACTGCATTGGCATGGTGGACAGCAGGGCAGAATCCACTGACAGGATTTCTAGATTGGATACTGAGCTAGTGAAGTGTAAGGACCAGATTAAGATGAGAGGGGGTCCTGCAAAGAATACCGTTACGCAGAAAGCCTTGCGAGTTTTAAAACAAAAGCGGATGTATGAGCAACAGCAGGAGAATCGCACCCAACAGTCATTCAACATGGAACAAGTCAATTACACCATCCAGTCATTGAAGGATACCAAGACCACGGCTGATGCAATGAAACTGGGAGCAGGGGAAATGAAGGCATACAAGTAAGTGAAAACTGACCAGATTGAGAATTTACAAGACCAGGTAGTGGACATGATGGAAGATGCAAATGAAATCCAAGAAGCACTGAGTCGCAGTTATGGTGGCCCAGAATTCGATGAAGATGACCTAGAAGCAGAGTTGGATACACACTGGGTGATGAGCTTGTGGCTGACAAAGACAGTTCTATTTAGATGAGGCAGCATCTGCACCTGCAATTCCAGAAGGTGTTTCCACTGACACAAAAAACCAATGATGGAGTTCTGATGGATGAATTTGGATTGCCACAGATTCCTGCTTCATACATTTGCATTAGTTAAGTACATCATGTAAAACAAACACATATTATGGGACCATGAAATACTGATCTTTCGAAACTTACCATAAGAGATATGTTTCTGTCCTTTCTTTGAAGGAAAGTTTAATTACATTACTCTTCTATTTTTTTTCCTTTGAGACTCATTGCTTGGGAAATGCTTTCTTTGTACTAAAACTTGATTCTGGCCAGGCACGGTGGCTCATGCCTGTAATCCCAGCACTCTGAAAGGCTGAGGCAGGCAGATCACGAGGTCAGAAGTTCGAGACCAACCTGGCCAACATGGTGAAACCCCATCTCTACTAAAAATACAAAAAATTAGCCGAGCGTGGTGGCGGGCACCTGTAGTCCCAGCTACTCGGGAGGCTGAAGCAGCCGGGAGGCAGAGGTTGCAGTGAGCCAAGATTGCCCCAACAGCCTGGGTAACAGAGTGAGACTCCGCCTCAAAAAAAAAAAAAAAAAAAAAATCACTACTGTATCAGAAGTGGGTATTCTGATTCTGTGGTTTCCTCAATACTACATCTTGAAATCAATAATGAATATTTCTTGATATCTGATGAATAGGACATTTACTCAATTTTTTCAAAAGGAAAAAAAGGCATAAATTACAAACATATATTAAAAAGATGAGACAGGCCAGGCACAATGGCTCACGCCTGTAATCCCAGCATTTTAGGAGGCTGAGATGGGCAGATCACCTGAGGTCAGGAGTTTGAGACCAGCCTGGCCAATATGATGAAACCCCATCGCTACTAAAAATACAAAAATTAGCCGGGCATGGTGGCATGTGCCTGTAATCTCAGCTATTTGGAAGGCTGAGACAGGAGAATCACTTGAACCCAGGAGGCAGAGGTTCCAATGAGCCGAGATAGCACCATTGCACTCCAGCCTGGGCAACAAGAGCAACACTGCATCTCAAAAAAAAAAAAAAAAAAGAAGATGAGGCAAAAAAAAAAAAAAAAAAAATCCAGAACCTGCAGATTACGTGCTTGCAAACTAGAAAATCTATCAACTAAAACAAATTGAAAATAATAAAAATATAAGATCTACAAGAAGCAGTAAATATCCTTCATACCAGCAATAATTATTCAGATGATGACACAGTACCATTCACAGTAAAAAGATATACAGGAAGAGACAATTCACAATAAAAAGATATACAAGAAGAAAATGAAGAAGTATGCAAGACTCACATTAAATTAAAAACAAAACCAAAAAACTATGAAACTACTAAGGCACAGAAGACCTGGATAATGAATAAATAGAGTAAAGGATTAAAGAAATTACTTCTCCCCAAAACAATGCACACATCGAAAGTAATTCAAGTCAAAATCCCAATGAGAGTTTATTACTGGAACTTGATTATAAAATCATCTAGAATCATTATTTAAAAAGGAATGGGAGGCCAGGCGTGGTGGCTCATGCCTTTAATCCCAACACTTTGGTTGGCCAAGGCAGGAAGACTGCTTGAACCCAGGAGTTTGAGACTGGCCTGGGCAACACAAGGAGACTCCATCTCTATAAAAAGTTTTAAAAAGCAGCCAAGTACAGTGGTGTGCACCTGTAGTCCCAGCTACTCAGGAGGCTTCAGCAATAGGATCTCTTGAGCCCAGGAGTTCGACGTTGCAGTGAACTATGATCATGCCACTGCACTCCAGCCTCGGTGACAAGAGCACAAGACCCTGTTTCAAAACGAAACAAAATAACCCAGTGCTTTTCTCCAAGGAGATAGAATTACAGGAGGATTTCACTTTGGCTATACTGTTTTTACCTTTTTTACAATGTACATATATTATCAAAACAAAGAAAGAAAAAATATGGGCCAGGGGCAGTGGCTCAGGCCTGTAATCCCAGCAATTTGGGAGGCTGAGGCTGGTGGATCACCTGAGGTCAGGAATTCCAGATCAGCCTGGCCCAACATGGTGGAACTTCATCTCCACTAATAATACAAAAATTAGCTGAGTGTAGTGGTGCATGCCTATAATCCCAGCTACTCAGGAGGCTGAGGCAGGAGAACTGCTTGAACCCAGGAGGAGGAGGTTGCAGTGAGCCAAGATTGCGCCACTGCACTCCAGCCTGGGGGACAAGAGTAAAACTCCGTCTCCAAAAAAAAAAAAAAAAAAAAAAAAGAAAGAAAAAAATATGTTTCCATTCAAAAACTAAAAGTTTGTAAACAATTATGTACAAGCAAAAATATCTGAACAATGACCTTTTAATTTCTTACTGATCCATGAAAATTATGCCTTAAATGACAAGAATGTTCACTCCTTTCATGACAAAAATGCCTGCTTCCCCACTTACATTAGCTGGTTGTTCTCACAGGAACGTCTGTGTCTTCACTGAGTTCCAATCTATTACGCCTGTAGGTCGAACCAACACTCAATCCATGAATTAATAATAATGAGGCAGAAAAAATTTTCCTCTTCACACTGCCAAGAAAACCTCTCAGCCACAATTCAAACACAGCATGTGTTTTTAAAACATCTCCCAACTACTGGGAGATAAAGTCCATTCAAATAACCTTTGTCAGACTGGAGACAGCTAGGGTTAGTTATCTCCTCAAAAACAAAAACAAAAACAAAAACAAAAAGAGTTCATTTAAAGATGAACTTGAGAGTCAAAGGATCATGAAAAAAAAAATCCATCTTCCATAGCTGAACAATATAATTTAAAAAAAAACAAAAAAAACCATCAGTTTTTCAGTAAGATCCAATTTCTGGTCTTCAAGATTTCTTCACCTATTAAGAAAAAAACAGAAACCTTCCCCCATCTTTATTATCTGTATAATAAAAGCATACTTGTATGTAAAAATATAGTGTTTTATGTATATAATATACATACAGATATATACTAACTGGCTTATACACACACACACATATATACACAAATGTATAGAAATATAACATTTGGGTAAGTTTCCCCTTTTAAAATGCACTATAAAAGACTTTAGATTTGGGTTCATTATAAAAATAAAGAACTTACTCTTATACCAAAGTATCATGAACTTATTGTTGCACTAAATTTTGCCCAGCCCACAAAATAAAGACGAAGGTAAATCCTTACACATATATCAATATGTATAATATGGATGTATGTATATAAATCCATCATCGTCATCAGGGAGTGTTTAACCAAAAAAGATAGAAACGTATGGTAATAGAGTAACTACAGAGTGGTGCAGCAAGCTGTAGAAGGCAGAGCAGCATTATAGCCATTCTAAACTGGCACTGTCAAAACACAGAAAGCTTTATCTAAGGGAAAATTTATTTCTGATTTTGTATCAACACCAGTGTCACTGGTTTGCCATTAAATAGTGGCCCTGGAAAGGCTTGCTTACGCAGCCTAGGTCCAAATTCTTTACTACTAATGGCTACAGCTAAAGACTTTGTAAGTATATATTTACTCCAGTTAGTAAAAGGGTAAACTTTTGGAGTTGAGATTTCACTTCACAATGGCGTATTTACCATTTAAGAATTAAAAAAAAAAAAAAAAAAAAAAATCAAAAACAAAACAAAACAAAAAAACCCTTATTTTGATACATAGAAATGAGTTCTAAACTTTGAAACCAGCCCAGTAACAAAGCAATTTTGATTCTCATGTAATAAATACTACATAATTTCTAGGCTAAATCTTGCCAAATACTATCCAAGACAAAACTAAAGTCAAAACTTAAAAAAAAAAGTGGACACCTTTTACTCACACTTAATACTAGTCAATTTTCCAGGAATTTTTTGGGCAGGGAATATCCCCAAATCTAAAATGAAAAAAAGGAAAAATTGGGATCTCACATTAGTTATTCAGTCTGAAACTTTTAATAGACTTTTACTAAAGTCATCACTTTCTGGCCTCCTACTCAATCACAGAAACATACTTTCAGAGTAAAAAGGGATCTTAAAACGAGATCAATTCACTCATTTCACCAATGATTCCTAACACATAAAAATACCGACCTGTTAGTTTTCATTAAGAATTCAATGGCCGAAACAACCGCACAGTTAATACAGTATTATGGGTCATTAAGTATGTTTTTAAAAAGATTACCTAAAATTATAGAAACAATTTTTGGGAAATATCTACTGGGTTTTTCCAAGCATGTTCAAAGGGTTCTCATTACAATTCCCATTCAATCTTCTCCAATTCTTGCAAACGTTTTAGTCTGTTTTTACCCATAAATCATTTGAAAGTACCTACACAATCCTTGTTATTTTTATAATATTTTGTAAAGGTTAAAACATGTATTTCAAAGACTAAAAGTATATTTTCCTAATTGTTTTCTAATATTTCCCTTTTATGTAAGATCCAATTCTAAATATAAAGGGTAACACTATCACACTCGACAATTTGAAATTATAAAGCTGACCAGTATGAGGAGGCAATTAGAAATTTCCAAATATAAAACAATTTCACGGGTTTTCTTTTTGCCAAGTTGTAATTAAGCATCAGGGTTTTTAAGGAAACAGAAAAACAGAGGCAAGAGGAATGCCAGCCTAGAGTACTTCTTTCTCATTTCGTTGGTTTCAGAGCAATACAATTTCCCATGGTGGGGGAAATTTTACTTAAAATCAATTACTAGTTCAATCTACCAGGCAGAAAGCCTAAGGCCTTTCAATGCTGCACTATATTTTTTTTAATTAAAAATATCTTTTCTCTCTCATTGGTATAAGCAAAATTTTCAAGTGCTAGCGACAATGAGTTATAGCTATGAAATTTTTAATCTTCATTTTATCAAAATTATATTGCCTCTGAGGAATTTTCAGCCCTTTTGTGATTTCAGGTTTCCCCAGATGTGTTTATAAAGATAATGATTATATTTAACAACTATAGCTATTAAGATACAGTAACACAGCAAAAGGTTGCCCATTTTAAACGGAGAAAAAGAAATTAAGGCAGTATTTCTTTTTCATTGCTTTGAACAACTTCATTCTCAGGATCCCAGCTCAGAACCAATGTAGAATAATCGTAGTTAACATTTTTCAAGTTCATTTTCAGAAACATCAGTTGTTCTATATTGTCAAAGTCCAGGCTCATGATCTGTTTTGGATGAAAGTGGCTATTTTTAGTAAAGATACATTCAGATTGCCAACTACACATGGGGCAACTTAGATACTGGATGGCAACCTGGGTCAAAGCTGGCCATATGCTTATCTTCCTCTGCCAGTAAATTAAAGGGTCATCACCTCCTGAGAGCTCTGAATACTTCTCTTTGAAGTACTCATCCACAACTGCTACAGCAGAAGGAAACATGAAGCTTTTGCTTCCAAGGGCACAACTGTCTACAGCTGAGCTATTGACGGAACCTGAATTGGAGGTGCCTTCTTTTAGAGATGAGGTAAATGAATCAGTTCCTACTGTAACTGAGGGACAAGAAGCTTCTGAAGTTGGAATTTGGCAGATCTCTGGTGAAGATTCCATATAATTACAGACCTCTTCTGCAAGGAACTGCTTATAAGTTTCTAAATCAGCACCTTGAGGAAAAAAGTCTTCCAAACTGTTTTTAAAGCAAGGGTCTAACAAAGTAGCCAAGATACAGGGCTTGGATTTAAGCATGGCACTTAGTAGGGTATCCGTTTCAAGTTTCAGAGATAAACTATCCACCAGATTGAGGGCCTGAGTAATACCTCTGACTTGAAAATCTTCTCTGAGTTTCTGCAAGGAAAGGAGTAGGTGATGGATTAGGGGTAGCACCTGATTCAATCCTGCGGTCTTCACGCTCACTTTCTGGGTAGCCTCCTCAAATGGCGTAAGAATATCACAAACATAAGTCATTAGAGTCCACTGAAGGGAGGTGAGCACAACTCCACTGGCTCTACCAAGACTATGGTGAACTGAGTAGCAATGCTCCAAGAGCCATTTTAACATATAAAAAGTAGAAATCCAATGGCCAGTTTCATCCTGCTTCAAATTCTTCCATGGAAGTTGGTGATCATTTTGGAACTCTTGCAGTATCTGACGGGCCTTGACCGAATGACTAAAATGATGACAGGTTTTCCTAGCAGCCACTAACATATTCTCAATGCTTTTGTGCTCACAGAAAAAGTCCTGAATGACCATATTTAAACAATGCAGGAAGCATGGCACATGGGTAAAACCACCATCTTTGATTGCGTGTACCACATTAGAGGAATTGTCAGAAACAATGAAGCTAGGGATAAGGAAATTTGGAGAAAGCCACAGACCAATCTGGTCATTTAATTCTTGTAAAATATTGGTTATCAAACAGTCTTTAGCCAAACCTGTAACACAAAGCACTGCCCACTTTCTAAAATCGGGGATCCTGCCATTATTGAGAAAAGATGCAGTTTCCAAAGAAACCCAGTGTACAGTCACAATAAAATAGTCAGTGGATGGGTCATGGGTCCATATGTCAACAGTCAGGTGTATTTTTTGGCTTTGAACATTCTCTAAAGTTAAGAAAATTTTTTCTCTGACACAATCATATAACTGAGGTACAGCCTTAGTGAAAAAGTAAGCCTCTGATGGCAACCTATAATCAGGGGCCACAATCTGCATGAACCTCTGAAAGGCTGGGGTTGAGAAGTAGTTGTAAGGATGCATATCCTCCACAATCATTTGGATAATTGCCTGACTTATTTGACTTGAGACTGGATTTCCAGATGTTGTTTCTCTCTCCTGCGCATGCATCAGAGTGCCTTGCTCTGCAACGGGAATAGGACTTTCAGATCTATTTTCAACCTCTAATATAGGTTCATCTGAATCAGAGTCACTAAGGTCCTCAGCTGTTAAATCTTGGCTGCCTGTAGACTTCTCTCCATGCAAGGCATCACTCAAGAGATCACTTCTCTCAGTCTCAGCTTCATCTAATCCATTTGCAACAGCACCACTGTCTTTGTTGGCAACAGCCCAATGGATAGGATGTGTGGCTTGCAGGTGTCGTTGAAGTGTTGAAGTCCCTAAGTGGGACCCTGGCCTACCCCGGCTCACACTTCTTTTACATATATTACACACAGCTCTTGAGATGTGCTGAGGATCAGTGTAAAAAAAATTCCAAACAGCAGATGTCTTGGCTCTAGTTCCAGGAATTAAAGCATGCTTGACAATGTTACTTTTGATGAGAAATCTCCCTCTTTCTGCCCTTAGGGCATCAGATGCTGATTTATCATGCTTCTTACCCATTCTATTATCATCTAATGGATCAGTAGGAATATATTCAAAGCTTCCATTGCTTCCAGAAGAGGGAGATAAAGATACATCCAAGGTAAAGTCCTCCTCTCCACTAGTAACTCCAAACTTGTTGGCTCTGGTCCAGTGAGGTGAATGCCTTGCTTGCAGATGTCGCTGAAGAGTAGATGTACCAAGATGGCTACCTGGTTTACCCCTGCTGACGCTTTTCTCACAGAGGTTACAAATAGCCCGCCAGGTGTACTGGGGGTCAACATGAAAGAAGTGCCACACAATGGAGGTCTTGGCTCTAGTACTAGGCAGATAGATCTGTTTTTCTATATTGCTCTCAAAAAGACTTTCTTCATCCTGCTCAGCGTCATTGGAAGCTAACAAAGCAGGGGCATCTGCAACAGGCCTCCCAGATCCCAAATCCTTACTAAACTTCTTCGCAAGAATCAGTTTTTTTCGACGCCTTTTCCCCTTAATTCGCAAACCCTTCTTTCTTTTCTTTTTAGCAGGCTGTTTGGCCTCTTTATTCACTCCTTCTGCTACCATCTTTTCCTCTACCACATCTTCTTCATCTGTATTAGAATTAATAGGAACACATCCCAGAATCCCAGAATCACTAAAAGTGCTGCATCTTCTGCCAGGAGAGAGTGAGGAAACTGGTACACTTAAAGTACATACACTCATTCTCTTTATGTCTCCACAATTCGTACCAGAATCCGTTAGAGGGTTTATAACTCAAGAAGAAATACAGCTGTCCCTCTCTACTTGCATTACCTTTTCTCCAATTTCTATGGGGAATCAAATTCCCACTGGACCAATAACTTCCAAGCCCGGTTATTTTTGGAGGAAAAGTGACAGCAATGGAGAACATTCCCGAACTCTTTCTTAGAGGGCTTTAAGGTCCCTTCCAATTTTCTAAGTTCTGAATTCAAATAGTCCAGTGTCCTCATGTTACAGAAGTTAAGAACTGAGTCCCCCTTTCCCAGAGTCACAGAGTTGGTTAGTAGCAGCTAGTAGCCAGGTCTTCCAAATCCCAGATCCATGGTCTTTCTGCTTCATCAAGAACTATATCTGCTTGAAATGCCTTCGCCTTTTAAAATATGTATTTTTATGATGCCTCATGATAGCGACATCAATTTCCCTTAATTCTGAAATTAACTATTTTCAGGAAATCTCATTTAAACAAAAACATAGTGCATCATTCAACATTCATCATTTAGGACTGTGATTTGCCAATACAACCCAAAAAGTCAATTCTGGAAAGCCAACACAGACTCCGCATACTGGTCACAGCAAATGCTAGTTGAGCCCTTTCAGTTCTAACTAAAAGTAATACAACCTTTTAAAAATGTAACTGGCTGGAAAAAAATGCTTTGAGAATAAAATTTTAAAACAAGGTTAAATGCTGCATTTTCAAAGTACTATTTGTATCAAGAGTTAATTCAAGTTTAGTTTTCAGATATTTTTAGACTGGAGAAGCTTTTACAGCCTGTAAGTAACTCACAAGTTGGACGCTATAGGGATAGCAAAAAGTGAAATATGAACTTTAAACCACTTCCATTTCTTTTCGATTGATCCCTCCCCTTCCCCCAATACCTACATACATTTACCCTAAAAAGCATCGCTATCTCTAGTTCCACAGCCTCCTTCTCAAGGTCCAGAACCAAGGCCTGGAAGATGTCAACAATATAGGCCTTCCCCATAGGAATCCGCACCGATTATGGGAGTTTAGGGGTGTTCTTCATTACGGTTTCACCAATCCTACAAGGAGAACGGAAGTGTCCCTGTTGCTCTTGACTCCGACGCTGAGGGCCAGGGGTGGGAGTGTAATGAGGGTGGGGAATGGGTGTAGGATACCGGAATAAGGTCGGTGGCTTTCTGTATGTGGAGTTTGAGACAAGCTCCAAAGTAGTGGGACCCTGGAGAGGAATGAGAGTAGGTAAATTCAGCGCCCGGCACTCAGTCTGATTGATTTAGGCAGTGAGGGTCCGCTCAACTAGAGAAACTGTTGCCCCGAAGAAAGCAATCTAGTGTCAGTTCTCTCTTCGGATTCGGGGGAACAGTCGGCTTTCGGGGGCTGCTCCGGGCTCCCCCAGATTAGCGAACACCGGATGTGGGGGAGGGGAGAAAGGCTGGCTGGGAAAGGAGCAGGCGCCGTGGGGGTGGGGTGAAGGGGGGTGGGGGTGGGGAGGATGGGAAAAGTGAGCTGGAGCCTGGGGCTCCCAGCCCGCCCCGGCGAGGGCCGCGGCCGGGAGGTGGCGGGGAGGGGTCGTTACGGCGAAGCTGGAGGATCCGCTCTGACTTCCCGGGATAGGCCGCGACCCAGGGGCGAGGGGAGGCCGCTGCCACTCCCCTCGCCCTCTCCCCCACCTCCCCGGCCCCAAGCCACCCGGGAATCAAAAAAACGGGTCTAGTTACCAGAGAACAGAAACTTTACCGAACCGATGACACTATCCCCGACTCCCGCTTGCTGCCACGTCTTTCTTCTTGCTTAGCCGCTGCCGTCCGTCGTCCTCCCAGCAGCAGCACCAGCAGAAAACCAAGACTGCCAGCGTCAAAGATGGCGCCCGGCTACAGGCTCCGCTCTAAGGCCCGGCCGGTAAAAGTGCCAGCACGACGCAGGGCGCGAGGGTTCTGGAAGATGTAGTTCTTCTATGAGGCGATGCCTAAGATGGCTGCTCCGGGTCACAGGGTCACGTGACGGGGGAGGCGCTGGGTCGGGGAGTCCCTTCCCTTCAAAGGAATGCCTTGAAGCTGGCTTTCAGAACGTTTTGTTTTTGTTTTTAAATCAAATGAGGTAATAAGCGGGAGGGCCGCAGGAACTGAGACTACCATTCAGTAAACGCTCAATTTATTCTTACCAAAGTGTTTTCTTAATGAGTAAATCTCCCAAACCATGTATATATTTAATTTAGAAATAAACTGTACTTTTCCTAAGCATGCAATGTAGAAGGATTTGTTAGTTTATTTTTACTTGAAGAAGTGAGATTGGGCTTTGGGGACGTTTCTTTGATTTCTTAAAGCAAATCTGTGTATTGGAAAAGTAATTCAAGCTCGTGACAAAATTCAGGAGGGTTAGTTGGAGGTCGCAATCAGCAGTCTCATCCCCGCTTCATTATTAACATTGTCCCTTATTTTCCCTTTTGAATGCTTTTACCTTTTCCCCCTGGTTATAAAAGTAATACACGTGGCGGGGCGCGGTGGCTCACGACTGTAATTCCAACACTTTGGGAGGCCTAGGCAGGGAGATCACAAAGTCAAGAGATCAAGATCATCCTGGCCAACATGGTGAAACCTCGTCTCTACCAAAAATACAAAAATTAGCTAGGCGTGGTAGCACACGCCTGTAGTCCCAGCTACTCGGGAGGCTGAGGCAGGAGAATCGCTTGAACCCGGGAGGCAGAGGTTGCAGTGAGCTGAAATCGCACCACTGTACTCCAACCTGGCCACACAGTAAGACTCCATCTCAAAAAAAAAAAAAAAGGTAATACACGTGGTTTTTTAAGAAACTTAATACATAAATATATAGAGTAGAAAGTTAAAATCTCTATTAATCTCATCCTTGAGAAATAGCTCTCATTAACTTACCATATATCCTTTCTGGCTTTTACACTGAAAATATCCTTAAATATATTACACGTATAATAGAAGCGAAAGGTCCCCCTGGAGTAGTGGCTCAGCAGAACTCTAAATAGGTGGCAACATTTTACCTAACTTGGGTAAAGGATATAATGCTACTAAGAAAGAAACACTTGATGATAAAGCAAATGGGACTTCAGGCACCTTTTATTTCCTCGTGTGCTTGTTCTTCCAGCTGCCAGCTTGGTGGTGCGCGAGTCCCAGGCAGCCCAAGACTGGGAATTTATCAGAGCAGAGGGGTCCTGAGCCTCCTCATATCTGGGCTTTTATCTCCGTTCAAAGTAAGAACAACAACTTTAGAATCTTAGCTCCAATCTCTGCCTTACATGACAATGCTCTGGCATTGCCATGTCAACAGACCTAATAAGCAAGTTCCTGGTAGCCAATTTTTTTTCTTTCTTTCTTTTTCTTTTTATTTTGTTTTGGTCTTTATTTTTTTGGTCTGTGTGACTCTTACTGGTAACCAATTTCTGTCTGTGCCACAACACCTAGGGTTTTTAAAATTTACCAGAGGGCTCTCCACATAGCTTAAGGGTTTTCCAACCTAGGGCTTTCCAAGATGCAGTCCTGGCCTGACTAGTATTTATAGTCATATCATATTTCATTAAACCTAACGTGTCATTGATTGTAAGATACACTTTTATTTTACAAGCCTCTAAGTGGAAGAAAAAAACCACCAATTGCCAATTAAACTGACAGGCCGGCCGGGCAGGGTGGCTCACTCCTCTAATCCCAGCAATTTGGGAGGTTGAGGCGGGCAAATCACAAGGTCAGGAGTTCAAGACTAGCCTGGCCAACATGGTGAAACCCCGCCTCTACTAAAAATACAAAAATTAGCCCAGCACGGTGGCACACATCTGTAATCCCAGCTACTTGGAGGCTGAGGCGAGCGAATTGCTTGAACCTGGGAGGTAGAGGTTGCAGTGAGCCAAGATCACACCATTGCACTCCAGCCTAGGTGACAGGCTAGGAAAGGATGTATACCTTAGAATGAATGAAAATATGAACAGGCTAAAACTCTACATTTTGTTTTGCAATTTGCTTTTTTTCACTTTACAGTATATCTTGAATATATTTTAATGGTCATCAGCGCTTAGAGGCCCACCATATTCTTTTTTATTTTTATTTTTTGAGACGGAGCTTCGCTCTTGTTGCCTAGACTGGAGTGCAATGGTACAATCTCAGCTCACCGTAACCTCCGCCTTCCGGATTCAAGCTATTCTTCTGCCTCAACCTCCTGAGTAGCTGGGATTACAGCCATGCGCCACCATGCCGGGCTAATTTTGTATTTTTAGTAGAGACGGGGTTTCTCCATGTTGGCCAGGCTAGTCTCCTGACCTGAGGTAATCCGCCCGCCTCGGCCTACATTCTTTTTAATAGCTCCCATCCCGCTCTCTGTAAGCCTCTTTTTACAATTTATTTCACCAGTCCCTTATTGATAGAAACAATCATGTCACATTTTCCATTAATATCTCTCAAGGGGGGAAACAAAAATAATACGGTAATAAGGACATTGAAGAGGACAAGCTGGGCAGGGTGACTCACGCCTGTAATCTCAGTGCTTTGGGAGGCCCTCCTGACTAGAGGTCAGGAGTTGAAGATCAGCCTGGCCAACGTGGCGAAACCCTGTCTCTACTAAAAATACAAAATTAGCTGGGTGTGGTGGCACCCACCTGTAATCCCAGCTACTCAGGAGCCTGAGGCAGGAGAATCACCTGAACCCAGGAGGCAGAGGTTGCAGTGAGCCAAGATTGCGCCACTACACTCCAACCTGGGCAACAGAGAGAGACCCCATCTCACCAAAAAAAAAAAAAGAAAAGAAAAAAGAGGGCAGAAGAAAAAGCCTGAGGCTGTTGGAGAGAGAGAAAACTAATTGGGAAACCCTCTAAGAGTCAGGAGAGTGCACATGCCAACCTTCCCCACCCTCCATATATACACACAGTATTCTCAGGGGTGTGTGTATGTTACATACACAGGAGTGTGTGTATGTTACATACACAGGAGTGTGTGTATGTAACAAACACTTGTATGTTACAAGTGGGGGTGAAGTATGTAAACCAAGAACACAATGCCAGATTCCCGCTACCCATACTGCACTTCAAATTCTAAATGGATTTTAAACAGTCTCTAGACCTCTTCAGTGAGTGACAAAACCTTTTGGGACATTCAGTGTGTTTTTGCTTTGAGAGCAAAAGTTCGGGGAAAAAATGCAAAATTACTGAGACAAAATTAGGTTCAAGAGAATCTTTATTTAGACTAGAAAAGGAAATCTAGAAAATAACAAATTACACATAAAAAAAAAAAAAAACCACTCTGCGCGGTGCCTCATGCCTGTAATACCAGCACTTTGGGAGGCCCAGGCCAGTGGATCACTTGAGTCCAGGAATTCAAGACCAGTCTGGACAACATGGTAAAACCCCATCTCTACTAAAAATACAAAAAATAAATAAATAAATAAATAAATAGCGGACATGGTGGCACGTGCCTGTAATCCCAGCTACTCAGGAAGCTGAAGTTTAAGGACTGCTTGAACCCGGGAGGTGGAGGTTGCAGTAAACCGAGATCGTGCCACTGTACTCCGGCCTGGGCAACAGGGCAAGATCCTGTCTCAAAAAAAAAAAAAAAAAAGAATACTTTGTGCCTGGTGTGGTGGCTCATGCCTATAATCCCAGTGATTTGGGAGACTGAGATCAGAGGATCACTTGAGTCCAGGAGTTTGATACCAGTCTGTGCAAGATAGTGAGACCTCATGTCTGCAAAAATATAAATAAAACTTTGTTCCAGAGACATTAAAAACTAAAAAAAAAAGTCATGATATTTTTACCAATAACTGGGTATGGTGGCGCACACCTGAAATCTCTGCTACTCAGGAGACTACGGTGGGAGGTTACAGTGAGCTCTGATCACAACACTACATTCCAGCCTGGGTGACAGAGTGACCCTGTCTTTTAAACAAATAAATAAATTTACATATCACTATAATCCTTTACAATACTTTTTTTCTCTATATGAGGCTGCATACTCTTTGATTGCCTCTTCATATGACAACAATTTTGTAATATCTTCTATAAAGAGAATGAAAAGAGGCCAGGAATGGTGGCTCATGCCTTTAATCCCAGCACTTTGGGAGGCCAAGGTGGATGGATCACGTGAGATCAGGAGTTCAAGACTAGCCCGGCCCATATGGCAAAATCCCATGTCTACTAAAAATACAAAAATTATCTGGATGTCGTGGTGCGCACCTGTAATCCCAGCTATTTGGGAGGCTGAGGCGGCAGAATCGCTTGAACCCGGGAGGTGGAGATTGCAGTGAGCTGAGATTGTACCACTGCACTTCAGCCTGGACGACAGAGTGAGACTCAGTCCAAAAAAAAAGAAAAAATATATATATATGATTATTGTCAAATTTGGTACAGCTTCTGTCAACTTTCTTTTATATATATATAAGCACTAAGACTTTATTGAATTATTATTGAATTATTTAATACCCTTTTTACCAGGCAAGAGCTACCATTTTTACTAAATCTATTATTTATTGCTATATAACAAATCACCCCAAAATGTAGTGGCTTAACCAACAAACATTTGTTATTTCACATGTCTGTGGGTCAGGAATTCAGAAGCAGTTTTGCTGGGTGGTTCTGGCTCAGAGTTTCTAATGAGTTTGCAATCAAGTTGGCCAGGACTGCAGTCATCTGAAGGCTTGACTGGGGCTGGAAGATACATTTCCAAGTCAACTCATATAGCTGTTAACAGGAGAGGAGACCTCAGTTTCTCACCCTGAGGGCCTCTCTGTAGGGATGCTCACGATATAGGCAACAAGCTTCCTCCAGAGTGCATGACGAGAGAAATATACTAAGACAGACACTGTAAGCTGCAATGCCTTTTACCTAGCCTTGGAAATTACATACCACTCTTTCTTCTGTATTCTATCGATTACACAGATTA